GTAAGTGGGCAAACCTGCAAAATCAGCAAGGGGTCAAATACTTATTTTTTTTCCCACTGTAATTCCTTGCTTCTCATAGAAGTTTTGTGCACCAAACACCAAGGCAAATTCCTTGTAAGTCAAAAACCTACTTGGCAATAAACATTATTCTGATTATTCTGATTATTCTGATTATTCTGATTATTCTGATTATTCTGATTCTGATTATTCTGATTATTCTGATTATTGTGATTCTGATTATTCTGATTATTCTGATTCTTATTCTGATTATTCTGATTCTGATTCTGATTCTGATTCTTATTAAGATGAAAGTCCCAGATTTTCCCTCCGTACCTGCTTTTCCGATCTGCACGGCTAGCTTGGTTAGCTTTCCCTGGAGAACAGATTTCTCTTTCTTTGGAGGTTTCTTTTTCTTTTTCTCTTCGTCCTCGTTGAGAGGCTGCATTTCCACAGTGGGTCCATCCTTGTTTTTCCCTAAAAGAGACAAAAAGAAGTCAGGTAAACATTCAGGTGTCTGGCTACAAACCATAAATATCCTAAAAAACCTAAAACCAGCTCTATGTTTCTCACACATGTTTCCAGAATGTCTAAAAGAAAAGATCCATATCACAGTCAAAGCACACAGAAAATTGAAGTTTAAAGCCAGATTCGAATCAGAGAAGAAAATAACGAAAATCTAAAGGTCTGTATGGTTTTATTTACAGAGTTACACACTCTGTTTACCACAGTTCAGATCCCATCCCATCATCCTCTCTGGTTTTGTCAAATTGATAGCCAATTGATTAATCATTTTAAATAGATCTTTTTCATTTTTGGATGTTTAGTTGGTGTCTATTTGGGGGTCCAATACTCAATTGTGGAAATTTACCAGAGAGAATAAAATAGAAAAGAAATAGAATAGAAAAGAAAAGAAAATGATCATACATATAATGTTTACAGACTGATCTGCTCTTTTTATAGCCAATTGATTACTCATTTTAAATAGATCTTTTTCATTTTTGGATGTTTAGTTGGTGTCTATTTGGGGGTCTAATACTCAATTGTGTAAATTTACCAGAGAGAATAAAATAGAAAAGAAAATGATCACACATATATTGATTTCCCCCTTAAAGCCTGATGATTGGGAGTCCTAATTTAGAGAATAAAGAGTGTATTTGAGACTTTAGAGCCCCCTCAGAGCTGTGGATGGGGAGTGGGGGTTTGTGGAGAGCTGATCCCGTCTCAGTAATGAGGTTATTAGTGGACAGCAGCAGAAGAAGCACCTGCCCGGCTTAACAACGATAATCTGCTTGGTCCTAATCACCATCAACAGAGTCGGGAGCACCTGCTGCCGCCCAGAGACAGAAACACGCTTTCTGGGAGGAAACACACCCCGAAAACCCGGAAGTGATCTGCATTTATTTATTTTTATTTATTTGACCTTTTTACCTCTTTATTTTGTAGTAAAATTACATACAGTATATGTATGTCAATTTTCAATTTTTTTATTTATTTATTTAACCTTTTTATTTTACATTAAAATTACATATATGTATGTAAATTCTTAATTTTTTAAATTTATTTATTTAACCTTTTTATTTTACATTAAAATTACATGTATGTATGTAAATTCTTACTTTTTTTAATGATTTTTTTTACCTTTTTATTTTACATTAAAATTACATATATGTATGTACATTTTCAATTCTTTAAATTTATTTATTTTACCTCTTTATTTTAAATTAAAATTACATATATGTATGTAATTTCTTATTTTTTTTAATTTATTTATTTTACCTTTTTCCCTCTTTATTTTACATTAAAATTACATATATGTATGTAAATTCTCTTTTTTTTTTTTTTTTACCTTTTTACCTCTTTATTTTACATTAAAATTACATTTATGTATGTAAATTCTTAATTTTTTTAAATTTTTATTTGACCTTTTTACCTCTTTATTTCATAGTAAAATTACATAGACTATATGTATGTAAATTCTTAATTTATTTATTTATTTATTTATTTAACCTCTTTATTTTACATTAAAATGACATATATGTATGTTAATTCGTAATATTTTTTATTTATTTATTTAACCTCTTTATTTTACATTAAAATGACATATATGTATGTAAATTCTTAATTTTTTTTATTTATTTTTTTTACCTTTTTATTTTACATTAAAATTACATATATGTATGTACATTTACAATTCTTTAAATTTATTTATTGTACATATATGTATGTAAATCATAATTATTTTTATTTATTTATTTTACCTTTTCACATCTTTATTTTACATTAAAATTGCATATCTGTATGTAAATTATTGATTTTTTAAATTATTTATTTTACATTAAATTTACATATATGTATGTAAATTCTTAATTTTTTTAAATTTATTTATTTTACATTAAAAGTACATATCTGTATACAAACTCAATTTTTTTTATTTATGTATTTGACCTTTTTACCTCTTTATCTTACATTAAAATTACATATATGTATGTAAATTCTTTATTTTTTTGTTTTTTTATTTTACCTCTTTATTTCACATTAAAATTACATACATGTATGTGAATTTTTAATTTTTTAAATTTTTAAATTTGACCTTTTTACCTCACATATATGTATGTAAATTCTTAATTTTTTATTTTTTTCTATTTTACATTTTTACCTCTTTATTTTACATGAAAATTACATATAAGTATGTAAATTCTTTATTTTATTTTACCTTTTTACCTCTTTATTTTACATTAAGATTACATATATGTATGTAAATTCTTAATTTTTTTAATTTATTTATTCGACTTTTTTACCTCTTTCTTTTAGATTAAAATGACATATATGTATGTAAATTCTTAATTTTTTTTATTTATTTATTTTACCTTTTTACCTCTTTATTTTACATTAAAATTACATATGTGTATGTAAATTCTCAATTTTTTAAATTGATTTATTTAACCTTTTTACCTCTTTATTTTACATTAGAATTACATATATGTATGTAAATTATTTTAGCTTTTTATGTTCATTTTTACCTGTACAGCACTTTGGCAACTTCGGTTATTTTAAATGTGCTCTATAAATAAAATTTGACTTGACTTAAAGGAAAAACATCAAACAAACCCGCCGACCAATCAGAGCCTCCGCTCGTAAAAAAACCCTGTTAAAAGGTAAATTTTTACCCATAAAATCGACCTGACGTGACATTTGACACAAAATGAGTCACTGAGTCACACAAGCAGAACTAACTCATCCATAACAGATTATGTAAAACAAATCTATTTTTAAAAGAGCACATTTGCAAAAAAAACAAACAAATATTCTATAATGCGACAACTCTCGAACTCTTTGGAAACTTATACCAGATTATTTAGTTTCTTATTATAGAATTAAACCCATCAACAGGTCAGGCCCTCTCTGGTGAAGTTTTATTTATTTTATTTTATTATTATTACTTTCACTCAACCTACAGCGTCATGTTGTTAGCACATGAATAATTAAGATTAAATTAATTAAAACAAAACAGATTCCCTCCTGAATACATTCATCATTTAGCATGAGCTAGATAATAAAGACGTTCATTTATCATTTAAATGGCTGCCAGCTCACATGTTTTAAGCCTTTCTGTCTTCTATACTGGTGTATTTCTCAAAATATAGTGAAATTCTATATTTAAAATCACTTTCTTTTTTCAAACAGTGTTTAAAAATGGTTGAATTATTTTCCCACACAGTGTTTCTATGTTTACAGACTGATCTGCTCTTTTTATAGCCAATTGATGACTCATTTTAAATTATCTTTTTCATTTTTGGATGTTTAGTTGGTGTCTATTTGGGTTTAAATTAGTATTCCAGTTTTTAGATATTAGTTTTAGATATTAGTTTTTAATATTAATTTGCTACTTTTTAATGTTTTCACAATAAGGCTCCACATGTTAACCAACCCCAATTATAGATTAGTTGAAATAAAGATTTAAATAGTACAACTAATGTTTTATTAAAGTAGGCAGATGTAATTATGAGAATAGAATAAACTAAATATGTATTTTATTGAGTGTGAGGAACTTTAGCATCACACCAAAACTAGCTCACCATTTAATGGTAGTATAGCTAATTTAAAACAAACTTTTTAGTCCACAAATAACTAGAAAATAAGTGGTTCTGAAAGAAACAACTGTAGGTAAACGCTTCACATAATAACTTTCATGGGCATTTGGTTAAAATTACAGCCAATTTCAACCACCCAAATTATATATTAGTTGGGATAAAGAGTCAAATGTGAATCAGAATTCTTAAAAAATACCATAACTAATGTTTCATTAGAGTAGGCAGATGTAATTATAAGAATAAAATAAACAAAATATGTTTTTTGTTGAGTGTGAGGAACTTTAGCATCACACCAAAACTAGCTTACCATGTGATGGTAGTTTAGCTCATTTAAAACAAATTTCTGAGTCTACAAATAATTGGAAAATAAGTGGTTCTGAATTAAACAACTGTGGGTAAACTTGATAACTTGATAATATGGTGGAAACCGAAGGCCTTACAGAAGCTAAATCCTCCAGAATTAGAGACGAGGAAATAAAATAAAACTCCAGGAATCCGCCCACAAAACAAAACCTCCATCAGTCACACAGTAAAACTCCCTAATGATGCTTACCTTTCTTTCCTTTCTCTTCTTTTTTACCTGTCAAGAAAATAGAAAGTCAAATGAGGCTTTAATACACACAGATTTTTTTTATTATTCATAAAATATATAAATGTTCTGATCTACAAACGTAACACAGTGTTTATTGCTAATGGAGTCTATATGTGTTGGTAATTTTGACCATTTATTGGCCTTTTTTTTCTATTAAAAAAGCTTAGAAAAAGCAGGTTTGAGGCCATAACAGATGCAAACCTGAGTTTCCTTCACTCACATAAAATGTTGTTTAGTTTAACTAGTTAAACTATTTAATTAGTTAAACTTAACATTTACCAATAGCTTCGAGTGCTAATCGAGTTAAATTAACTCCATGTGAACAAACTCCTTTTGAGGATGCTTTTCAGAATAAAACGAATGGACACTTTTCTTCTCTCTGGCTTTTAATCAAATCTAAGTGGACATCTGGCAAAAATGTACATTTTTATTTGAATTTTAACCCTGTAATGCCAAATGTGTCATATCTGATACGGTTTCTGAAATGTTTTGCGTCTGACACCTTTTGCTTAATTTAATGGTAAAAACTTTGCTCTAAATCCTATTGTACACAATCAGATACACCTGATAACAGGGGGCAGAAGACTACACAAAACATAATCTGGACTTATCGCATAGTAATAAATTATTAATATTAAAAATGTATTTCTGTTTTTTCTTTTTACATATTTTGTTAAAAGGCCAAATAAAGACTTCAAACAAAAAAAAAGTAATTTTCTGTTTTTTTTTAATTCTTGGATCAGGCTTTAAAGGGTTAACTTATTATATTTTATTGTATTTTATTTTCATTCTAGTGTATATGTATGTTAGCCTTTTAGTTTTTCGCTTATTTCCTGTAACTGGGATATATCTGTGTAGCTCTCTGGTGTTTGAAATATGCTTTATAGATAAAGTTTGGGTTTAAAACACAGACAGACGGTTCTTCCCTGTAAATATCTTAAGCTGTATGCAATGAAATGTAAAACCAACCGAAATATCGCAAGCCTTTTATTGTTTTAATATCGCTGATTATGGCGTACAGCTGAAGAAAACTAAAAAATCTGATATTCTAATATTTTGAGATAGGATATTTGGGTTTCTTAAGCTGTAAGCCATAATCAGCGATATTAAAACAATAAAAGGCTTGCGATATTTCAGTTGATTTGTAATGAATCCAGAATGTATGACATGTTTTTTAATTGCATGACAGAAAATAAAGAACTTTATCACCATATTCTAATTTTCTGAGACAGTCCTTTATGTGTGTGAACTCACTCTTTTTGTCCTTTTTGGTTTTCTTCCCCTCTCCCATTTTAAATAAATCTTTTTCATTTTTGGATGTTTATAAAAGGCTTGCGATATTTCAGTTGATTTGTAATGAATCCAGAATGTATGACATTTCATGTTTTTTAATTGCATTACAGAGAATAAAGAACTTTATCACAATATTCTAATTTTCTGAGACAGTCCTGTGTATATATATATATATATACATATTTGGACTCACACAGACTAAAGGATGAAGAGAAAAGCCCAAAAGTCCCATTTTAGGCAGATATTACATTACAGAAAATAATGAACTTTATCACCATATTCTAATTTTCTGAGACAGTCCTGTATGTGTGTGAACTCACTCTTTTTGTCCTTTTTGTTTTTCTTCTCCTCTCCCTTCTTCTCTTTCTTCTCCTCCCCATCACTCTCCCCGTCCTCCCCGGCTCCCAGCAGCGTGAAGATGATTCCCGTTTGGGAATTCACCCCCACGGCCGTCACCAGCATCTTCCCAGAGCCCTCCATCACGTGGGTCCCTAACGGGGGGGAACCGGTTAAAACGGGACTTTTCTATAACTATATATATGACAGGACAGTTATTTTTTAGGTTTTCATGACTGGAACTCTAACTCTGCCTCTCAATGTGAATTCATCTCCAAAAAACAGCTTTGATCAGAATCAGAAATACTTCAATAATCCCAGAGGGAAATTATTTTGGTTACTAGCTCCATAAATAAAACAACAGCATATACATATATACATATCTAAACATATATACATATATATATATATATATATATATATATACAAAATTCCACACAGAATTCAGATAAATATATACATAAGTAACTATATGTATATATAAATAATTTTTGTTACTAGCTCCATAAAGAAAACAACGGCATATGCATATAAACATATATATATATATATATATATATATACAAAATTCCACAGAGAATTTAGATAAATGTATACATAAGTAACTATATATATATATATATGGGTCTAAAATAAGTGGTTCAAAGCTCATAGCAGAGTTTTTATTATGGGTGTGAAGTCCAAGCTGAATTATTCATCAACTGGAGAGTAAATTACAGAAATGGTCCGGTGATGGCAGAACCCGGAGCATATATATATATATATATATATATATGTATATATATACATACCTGACAGCAGCATGGGGTCTTTATCGAGGGTTTTCTTAACATGGTCGGACTCCCCGGTCAGAGAACTCTCGTCTATCTTCAGATCGTTTCCCTGAATCAGGACCCCGTCAGCAGGGAGGAGGTCGCCTGGAAAATACAGAAT